GCCCTCCCTCCCTCCCTCGCCTGCGCCGCCCTGCATTCCTTGCGTCGAGGGGCGGCAGCGCGCCGATCCGCACTCCTCCTCGTTCCCTCCCACAGAGGCTCCACTGCAGACTCTCCACCTGGACGTGTGGGGCCCAGCCCGCGTCCGTGGACAGGGCCACGAGCGGTACTTCCTGCTGGTAGTCGACGACTACACGCGTTACACCACGGTCTTCACCTTGCAGCGCAAGGGGGAGGTCCCTAATGTTTTTATCCCTTGGATCCGCGCTTTTCGTCTCCAGCTCCGCGAGCGGTTCCACTCGGACTTTCCTGTCCTGCGTCTGCACTCCGACAGAGGTGGTGAGTTTACCTCCGACCTCTTGCGAGCCTACTGTGAGGAGCACGGCATCCGCCAGACGTTCACGCTTCCGGCCTCCCCGCAGCAGAATGGGGTTGATGAGCGCCGCATTGGCTTAGTCATGGAGGTCGCTCGTACCTCCATGATCCATGCGGCTGCCCCCCATTTTCTGTGGCCGTTTGCGGTCCGGTACGCCGTGCATCAGCTCAACCTCTGGCCCCGTGTCTCTGTGCCGGAGACTTCGCCCACACTGCGCTGGACGGGGGAGGTTGGCGATGCGTCGCGTTTCCGAGTCTGGGGTGCCCGTGCCTTTGTCCGCGACACCACTGCGGACAAGCTCTCCCCTCGCGCCATTCCCTGCGTCTTCCTTGGCTTTGTCCCTGACGCGCCTGGCTGGCAGTTTTACGACCCCGCCTCGCGCCGTGTCTTTCCGTCTCAGGACGTCACCTTTGACGAGTCAGTCCCCTTTTACCGTCTCTTTCCCTACCGCACTGCCCCTCGCCCCCCCCCGCCGCTCTTTCTCGCTCCAGGTCCTCCCCAGGTAGACCCCCTCCCCGCGCTAGGTCCTGCTCCTTCAGGTGTTTCTCAGGTAGACCCTCCCGTGCCTGCGCCTGTTGAGGTCACTGGTGACTCAGGTCCTGCTGGGGGTGGTCCTGCTCGGGGTGCTGTCTCTGGGGGTGCTGAGCCTGGGGGTGCGGAGCCTGAGCGTGAGGAGCCTGGGGGTGCTGAGCCTGGGGGTGCGGAGCCTGGGCGTGAGGATCCTGGGGGTGCTGAGCCTGGGGGTACGGAGCCTGGGCGTGCTGAGCCTGAGCGTGAGGAGCCTGGAGGTGCTGAGCCTGAGCGTGAGGAGGCTGGAGGTACTACGCCTGGGGGTGCTGCGTCTGGGGGTGCTGAGCCTGAGCGTGAGGAGCCTGGGGGTGCTGAGTCTGGGGGTGCGGCGCCTGAGGGTACTAAGACTGCTGGTGCGCGGTCTCCTTGGAGAGGCCGCCTTCGTCCGCGTGCGCCTCTCTCCCCTCAGCAGCTGCACGAGTGGTACGCTAGCCGTCAGGGTCGCGCTGCTGGAGCTCGGGGCTCTGCAGCTGGGAGTGGTGCTGGTACTTTGTCTACAGGAGGTGCTGGAGTCGCTGGTTCCGGAGGTGCTCATACTGGAGGTACTAGAGCTACTGGGGGTGCCGCTGCTGGAGACCCTAGGGCTGGAGGTGCCGGTTCTGGGGGTACTGCTGCTGGTGACGCTGGTACGGGAGGTGCTGGAGCTGGAGGTTCTGGAGCTGCTGGTGACGCTGGTACTGGAGGTGCTGGCGCTGGAGGTTCTGGGGCTGCTGCTGACGCTGATACTGGAGGTGCTGGCGCTGGAGGTTCTGGAGCTGCTGGTGACACTGGTACTAGAGGTGCTGGCGCTGGAGGTTCTGGAGCTGCTGGTGGTGCTGGCGCTCGAGGAGCTGGAGCTGGAGGTTCTGGAGCTGCTGGAGGTGCTGGAGTTGCTGGTGGTGCTGGAGCTGCTGGTGCTGGTGGCGCTGCGCAGCCACGACTGTTCTTTGCTCCGCCGTCTCCATCGTCTCTGCCACCGCCTGACTCCGTGCTTCGCCAGGTTCTTAGCCTCCCGTCGTCTACTGGTCTTCCGTTACAGCCTGGCTCACCGCTACCTGCTCCTTCTCCTTACACTGAGCAGCCAGGAGGTCTTGCTGAGCGTCTTGAGCCTGCGTCGCGTCCTGTCTCGCCTGTCCGCACTGGTCGTCGTGTTCCTCGTCCGCGTCCGCCGGCTGTCCCCGGCACACACCTCATGGCTCTGCGTCCTTCCTCTGCTCCGCAACGTGTTCCTCTGCCGTCTCCTCCTGCGTCTTCTCTGCCTATCATTGCTGACCCTGAGTCTGACCGGTTTCATGCTGAGCACCCTACTGTCACGCGTCTGCTAGCCACTGTTGTCACTGACCCATCGTTTGAGTCTGCTGCTGCGTCTGCCTTCGTCGCTGAGCTTGTTGACTTTGCTGCTGCCTGTCGTCTAGACTACGCCGCTAGTCTTGTTGCTGAATCTGAGTCTGTCTGTCCTCCGTCCGTCGGGGGTGAGTGTGCTCTTGGCATGGACGTCCTTGAGGACAGGCAGGAGAACCTTGAGTGTCTTGCAGCCGCTGCGCCTCATCTCGTGGCCATGCTGCTTGCCCCTGAGGGAGACCCGGATGCTCCAGACATCCCGACCCCGCGCTCTTACGCTGAGGCGATCGCGGGTGAGTACTCCTCTCAGTGGCAGACAGCCATGGACGCAGAGATGGCATCCTGGAAGTCCACAGGCACTTACGTTGACGAGGTTCCCCCTCCTGGGGCGAACATCGTCGATGGCATGTGGATTTTCAGGGTGAAGCGGCCGCCAGGTTCTCCGACTGTCTTCAAGGCTCGTTACGTTGCTCGAGGTTTCAGTCAGCGAGAGGGAGTAGACTTGTTCCAGACCTTCTCCCCCACCCCGAAGATGACCACTCTTCGGGTGCTGCTGCACGTTGCCGCTCAGCGTGACTACGAGCTTCACTCTCTTGACTTCAGCACTGCTTTCTTACAGGGCACCCTGCACGAGGAGATCTGGCTGCGCCGCCCGCCTGGCTTCACTGGGTCATTCCCTCCTGGTACCCAGTGGAGCCTCCGGCGGCCGGTCTACGGTCTCCGCCAGGCGCCACGTGAGTGGCACGACACACTGAGGACGACACTTGCGGCTCTTGGGTTTGCTCCATCGACTGCTGACCCGTCGCTGTTTCTGCGCACCGACACTTCGCTGCCGCCGTTCTACATCCTCGTGTACGTCGACGACTTGGTCTTTGCCACTGCTGACACTGAGGCTCTCGCCCTGGTGAAGTCGGAGCTGCAGAAGAGACACACGTGCACAGACCTGGGTGAGCTGCGCAGTTACCTTGGCTTGCAGATCACCCGGGACAGAGCACGCCGCACCATCACACTGACTCAGTCACACATGGTGCAGCAGGTCCTTCAGCGCTTCGGTTTCTTGGCGTTCTACACGCTCGTCTTCAGTTCTCAGCTCCAGTTGTGAGGCTGAGATCTACGCCACGGCCATGGCTGCACAGGAGTTACGCTGACTCACCTACCTGCTGACCGACTTGGGAGAGCGGCCTCGTTCTCCACCAGTGCTGTACGTCGACAACAAGGCCGCCATTGCCTTGTGTCAGGAGCACAGACTGGAGCACAGAACGAAACACATCGCTCTGCGTTACTTTCTGGCTCGAGAGTTGCAGCAGCGTGGTCAGCTTCGTCTTGCTCACGTGGCCACTCGGGCCAACACTGCTGATATATTCACCAAGGCACTTCCGTCTGGTGATCATCAGCGTTTCTGCACTTTGTTAGGCCTTGTGCCCACGTTTCCTCACTTGCTGTAGACTTTGCTTGTACTGTGATCTATATATATACCTGCATGCTTGCTCTGCTAGGTAGAGATCACTGTGCTGTTGTTTGTTGCATATATACCTCTGCATGTGAACTGGCCTTGTGGCCCTTTGCTTGTGCTCAGTGTGTGTGGTGACGTTGTGATCCACCCTGAGCTTGCTTTGCTTCTCTTGACTGGTCTTGTGACCCCTTGCTCTCCCCCACTTTGCCTATGGGGGTGTGTCAAAGTATATGCATGTTACATATGTGTAGGCTGTAGTGGGGTAGCCAATATGGGGTACAACCCCGTTCAGGGTTTCATACTTGTACCCAACTCTTTCATTCTGCATTCATTCCTGCCTAGACTTCTGACATTATCACCCCGCACTGGCATCCAAATCTTCAAACACATGAACCAGAATCTAGTAGTGCCACCTCCCTTTGGGCGACGTGAGGTCGTACATTTCTCACACATTTGCAGTTCTTGTATCGTGGCTCAGGACGGTCCAACACGGTGAAAAGAGGGTTTAGGTTCCCAAGGTTTACCGCTCTGCACCGTGATGAAACAAAGTTAACCGCAGTGGGCGTACAAAAAGTTGTACCTACAACCTGACGTCGCACTTAGAAGCGTATTCCTTGCTATCCCAAAAAGAAAGGCCAATGTTCGTGTTAAATAGTAAACATGGTTGGGACATGGGGAACAAAGCAGCCCACAATGTTAGGAAAATTGTAGGAAATCAGAGTCTGTGTAGCCTAAAGTGTATTTTGATTTTTGTGGAAGTTATCCCTGGAGGGGCACTCTCAATGCAAGCACGACACGCGGCTCACAGTCTAGTACAGTATCTTTTCTGCTTTATCCAGGCGTTGCTGATTAATGTGGCCTGCTCCAGCAAAAGTGTTCAACAGTCGTTCAGCTGCTGCTGCTGCTGCTGCTGTTGTTGTGGAGAGACACCGTTTCGGAGAAGGTGAATGGGAGATGTGAGGGAGTGAGGGAAGTAGCAACAAAACACAGCCATACGGACACACACACAGTCAGCAAGCGAGGCTCGCCAAGGGCAGGTGGTGGGCATCCCGTACCAAGATTGAGAGGGAGAGAAAATTATGGAAAAGGAGATCTTGAGGGAGAGGAAGAGAGGAGGAGCGAACAGCATGAGGAGGAGGAAGAGGCAAGGAGGAAGGGACTGGCAGGTGAGCAGAAGCCCGCAGATGAACCAGGGAGAGAGGAGGGACACCGGCTGCACGCGTAGCAGGATTCGGAGATTCCACCGCTCTCCCCCCCAGAGCACAAGGGGGTTTTATTAGGGTTACAAAACCACCGGCGCCATGGCCTGCATGCCTCCTGCTGCTGCTGCGGCGGCGGCCGCCGCGGCAGCATCTGCGACCGCTGCCGCTGCTTGCGGCTCCAAATAATCCTCTTTATGATTAAAGAACGTCGCCGCAAGAATGAGATACATGAGAATGAACATGAACCCCTTGAGCCAGTTCGCCGAGCCCTCGTGCAGCGTGAGAACAGTCGCGAGGACGGTGATGAAGAGCGTGCAGGTCTCAAAGCGGTGGAAGTTGAGGTCCATGGGCACGTCCATGGCCCACCCGCCCAGCACCGCGAGCGGGATGAGGAACATGGCGAGCTGGATGGACGAGCCGACGGCGATTGAGAGAGACACGTCTAGCTTGTTGCGGATTCCGAAGAGGATTGCCGATGTGTGCTCTGGGGGTGGGGAAGGGGGAGAAGGGGTGGGTTGAGTGAGGTTGAGAGGTGTGGAAGAGCTGGATGGAGCCGACGGCGATGGAGAGAGAGACGTCTAGCTTGTTGCGGATTCCGAAGAGAATGGCGGGTGTGTGCTCTGGTGGGGAAAAGGGGGGATGGGGGGGGAAAGGGAAGGAATCTTGAGGTGCTTCAAACCTGCCGTTTCTAACTCTCTCCCTTCGTCCTTTTTCCCTCACCAGTCATGTTATTAACGAGCGGAAGCACCACCACGCACAGCCCCAACACCGGCACGTTCCACTCCTCTCGTCCTCTCGTCCTTTCGACCTCCCTCCCTCCTTCCCTCCCTTTCTTCTTCTCTCTCCATCCCCCCAATCGACTTACCAGTCACGTTGTTCACGAGCGGCAGCACCACCACGCACAGCCCCGATACAGGCACGTTCCACTCCTCCGCGGCGCCGTCCACGCTGTTCACCAAATAGTCGCTAATCACGCTAATCAACGCCGACACCAGCGCGAGCCAGAACACGCCGCCCCAGAACCCCAGCACCGAATGCTCCTCCTCCTCCTCCTCCTCCGCCTCCCCTCCCCCTTCCGCGTCGCCGCCCGCGCCGCCGTCGCCGTCCGGGCCGCCTTCAAATAGGTCTTTATGCGTGAAGAGCTGGAAGTAGATGTAGGCGAAATACGCGACGAGCATGAGCACGGCGGCGAGGCGCGAGAGCGCGAGCTCCGACGCGTTCTCGTGGAGCTCCGTGCCTGTCGCGTGGAGGAGGTTGGGGAAGAGCAGCCCGCTCATTGCAAGCATGAGAGCGCCTGCGGGGAGAACAAGGCGGGGGGGGGAGGGGGAGCGCGGGCCGGAGGGGAGAGCGGGAATGAGGAGGGGATATAGGGGAGCAGGATGCGGCGTTCTCGTGGAGCTCCGTGCATGTCGCGTGGAGGAGGTTGGGGAAGAGCAGCCCGCTCATCGCGAGCATCAGCGCGCCTGGCGGGGGAAATAGGGGAAAGGGACGGAGTGGGGGGAAGGGGGAGAAAGAGGTGAGCGAGATGGGGGAATGACGGGGAGACAAGGATTTGAAGGGTTAGGGCATCGGGATATATCGGGCTTGAGAGGGCACAGGGAGGAAACGGATGAGAGTTTATCGGAGAGGCTCAGATCGCATTGTGGTGGAAAACCGCATGCGCGCGCCCAGGGCGCAGAACATTGCGCGCCGGCGGAGGAGGACATTGCGCGCGGAGGGCTTGTCGAAGCGCGACATGTGAACCTCGTGTGTGCGTCCTTATAATTTTGCGCCCTTCTTCGCACCGAGTTCCCCGCACTCACCGCAATTCATCTGCGCCGCGGGCTTGTTGAAGCGCAGGTTCCGGTGCACCATCCCACCCGCCAGAAACGCGCTCCCGAGGCACAGCAGCAGGTTCCCCAGAATGGACCCTAACAGGGAGAGCTGTATAACGCGTACAAGCCCGCTCCGCAGCGCCACCATAACGATGATCAGCTCTGGCGCGTTACTGAACGTCGCGTTAAGAAGTCCTCCGAGGGTCGGGTTCGTACACAATGCAAGCTGCTCCGTTACAAATCCGAGCCGCTCCGCGAGCGGGACTAGCGAGAGGAGGCTGAAGGTGAATATGACGTTAGAAGGTAAGTTATGCGCCACGCAGAAAAACGTCACTGGGACGAAAACCAGCAGGAGATTAATGCGCGACCCGAAGAATAAGGAGTATAGGCTCGTGCGGAGGTATTTAGCCGCGCCGCCGCGCCGCCGCGAGTCCTGCGGCGCCGCCGCGACCTGACGTTGATTGACCGCTGACTGCGACCCGTCGTCGCGCGGCTCCGGCTGCTGGTCTGGCGGCATCGCGATTGGCTGATACGCCGGTGTGGTTTCCGCGACCAGCGCCCCCATTTCCGCCCACTCGACGCTGGTCAGCCGGTTAATCGGAACCGCGACGTCCCCACCGTTGCCGCCGGAAGACACGGGGAAATGGCGGCTGTCGTCGTCGTATTGCAGGTGCTCCGATGCCGCGTCGCTAGACGCGTTACTAAGTACGTGGCTAAGCGCGTTGCTAGACGCGTTGCTGAGGGTGTTGCTGATGGCGGCGGCAGCGGCTGATGGTGCCGGCCGGGCTGCGTGCGGCGAGGAGGAGGGGAGAAGCGGCTCGTTGCTCATGGTGAGTGGTCTAGAGTCAGAAGGGGCGTGTCAACAGAGATCGGCGCTTGATTCGCAAAAAGAGGCGGAACCTGGTCACCAGGAAACAGCTGCCGCCATTTGCGGGAACGGGATGATGACAGGCGGTGAAATGGGTCACGTTATGCTGTCCAGTAAGTGGATACTTGTGAGAAGTTAGAGTTTTAGCGGCGCCATTCTCAAGGACTAGGTTGCAGCGAGCTGGAAATCGACTATCGTCAGTCTTGAGACCGATCACCAACTTTTGTGACAACAGTCTGTCAAATTTGTTGATTGTAACTATTCCGGCAGACGTGAAGTGCGACCAGAATAACCACCAGCGACGTCGAGAATCAAAATGCTTGCAGGGCTGTTCGGTGCCTCAGAGAGCTAACTATGGAAGTACTCGACCAGGCTCTATCTCTGCATAGGGCAGTGAGTGTTAAGTTAAGGGGCCGGAAGGCACAACTAGCAAAACGCTGGTGTCTCAGACGGACTAACAAAACTAGTTTCAGCGAGACATCGACGACTAAGAAGATCAGCTACGCGGGCACGCTGGTTTGCGAGGGCAAGCTTTTGCGAGGCGGGAAGGGCTCGGCACCAGCGGCGGCTTCACGCCGAGGAGCGGTTTGCGAAATGAAACGTGCGGCGGAAGCCTGTGCTGGAAGGCAGTAGGTGCAGAGTGAGATTGGGGTCGAGGGGCAGCGGCGTGCAGATATGGTTGACGGGTGGCGCATCTGATGTTCACATTGGGATGGGGCAACGTGGACGTGTTAGGAGCGCAGGCAGAGACGCACAGACAGCTTGGAAATGCGGGCTGAAAGAAAGGGTTGATATGGGCAAGGAAGGGTGGGGAGGAGCAATTCGAAAGGAGAGAAGACACAGTAGGAAGAAAACAGCTCTCATGCCTGTTCAAGCACGCAACTCGCTCCCAGTTGCTCGGGGGGATGCTCGTCGCAAGAAAATCAGGAGATAGTGGGATTGGAGCAGAAGGGGGCAGATTGGCGCAGATTGGCGCAAGCGAGAGATTGGCCGGCGCATTCACGTCGCGCCGCCATTCTTGCACGCCCAGCCCTGGAGGCGGCGCGGGCAGAGGAGGTCTCTTGGTTCCTTGCCTGCGTGGGTTAACTTGGTTTGGACCAATAGACAAGCAGAGCTAGAGTGGTTGGTGGTGGTGATATAATTTCATGGACGGGCATCGGATTTTGCCTTTTTTCGGTTGGGACTACACTACAAGGGAAGCATATAACCACAGGCGTAACTGGACTCTTGCTCTTTAATTATATTAATGCAAAATCACCACAGAAAACTATTCGAATGAAGAGTTGAAAAAAAACTCAAAATATTCGAATGAGTAGTTGAAGATTCGAGCTTGAGGCACCGCGACGCGGGAGGAAAGTTCACTTCATCTTGACGTGCTGGGCTGGGAGATCAACTGCCTCGACCACTGACGGTTTCCTCCCACGGCTCTTGCGTCACTCAAAGGGTATCGAACCAATCGTAAACTAGGACCACGATGCAGCGAACACAGACTTGTTCCCGTCGCATTGTCCTTCATGAGTGTGTTTGGTGTAAATATTGCACCGTTTTTGTTAACACCGTTGAGATACAAATTAGCACCTGCTATCAACTAACTAGATCTTTTGTAGCATGGGCAAAAGAGCACACGAGGCATCTGCATCTGAATACTGCACATGATGCCTCAGGAGTGACATACAAATAAAACAGCATCATCCACCAATCAGAGCGCCGCAATTAACCATATACCAAGGTGCGTATGCGCTTGAGCTCCTCGCAATTCGGCATGTGCATGGCACGTGCTCTTTGGACCTGCCCCCACTTGTAGAAGTGTGCCTGCTGCACGCGCTCGTTATGACACATTGTCTCCACACGCTCCCTGCAGGTAAACAAAAAAACCAAGTGTTTGGCAAACCCACAAAGCAGGCAAACCACAAAACCACAGGGTGAGGAAGAGGGTAAGGGAGGTGAGGTAACACAGCACAACACATGCATGAAGACTGAAAGAGGAGGGGAATGGAGAAGCGGAGACAGAGAGAAAGGAGAAACCAAGAAAAACATGGGGTGGTACGGTAGATAACCACCACAATCTCCTCACCTGTGGTCTGCTTCTACACTGTTTTCTATTTTTATGCGATCTTTCGACCCCGCAGGGTACGTCGTGGCAAAGTCCGGTTCAGTCTTCACAAAGTAGGGCACTGAGAGCACCCTGCACACACACGACAAACCGTATCAAGAAAGGGGAGAGGAGGGGGGAAGGTGGGGCACACACACGACACGACACGACACACGCTCTGAGTAAGCATCATCCTCAGAGCACACGCCTCAAAAGAAGGGGCCTCAAACTCCAACTTAGGTGACTAAACCCAGAAGCCTCAGATCAGAACCAATCGCATAATCCCTCACCTGGTGGCATGCTTCCCTGAGTACACATCCCTCCTGCGTGGCCAGTGGCGCCTTAAAAGGCCCGAGTGACTAGGCGCCTCATACCTAGGCACCTTCAAATCAAACTAGACACATCAGAACCAGCCACACCACTCACCTCGACACGTGCTGCTCCGAGTACACATCGTCTCTGCGCAGGCGGTAGAGCGGATCAGGCGAGGGCAGGAGGTTGTAGGCGAGGAAGAGGATGATGGGCAGCAGCTGCATGAGGAATATGGGGTTCACCGTCGGGCCCCCCTGCTGCCCCTCCTGCTGCTGCTGCCGCCGGTGCTGCTGCTGGTGCCGCTGGTGCATCCTCTGCTGATTCATGTGCGCTCGGAAGGCTTGGGCTGGGAGGGAGGGGGTGAGGGAGGGGGCGGGGGGGGGAGGGCACAGGAAGGACAGGGAAGGAAAAGAGTGGGGGGCGGGTGGGGGAAGGGGGGGAAGGCGGGGGGCCAGTGCATCCCCTGCTGGTTGTCGCGCACTCAAAATGCACAGCGCACACAAGCACACGCCCAGCCCAGCCCAGTTCCAGCCCAGTCTCTCCCCTCCCTGCCTCACAATGTGCAGGGTGCATCCAAAGAAGGCTTTGAAGATATTATTCAAGTCAAAGTCTTCATCATCAAAGCAGGACGTGTACATCCGCGAACCTCCCCCTCCCTCGGAACCCCAACCCCTCATGACACGTCCAAAAAGCCCCAAAACCCCTACCCTACCATGTGCCCCCACCCAGCGCGGTAACTGTTTTACCATGTGCCGGATGCACCCCAAAGAAGGCGTTGAAGATATCGTTCGGGTCAAAGTCATCGTCGTCGAAGAAAGACGACGTGTACATGCGCGGGCCTCCTCCACCAAACCCCAACCCAAACCCCTTCTGAAACGTCTGGAAAGCCCCCAACCCCTGCACACACCCAGCAGTCCCTCCCCTACCATGCGTGGGATGCACGCCGAAGAAGGCATTGAAGATATCATTCGGGTCAAAGTCATCGTCGTCGAAGAAAGACGTGTACATGCGCGGGCCTCCCCCGAACCCGCCCGCGTACTGCTGCCGCTGCCGCTGCTGCTGGCGCTGCCGCAGCAGGTGCTGTGGGTCCTCGTGGCCGTAGCGGTCGTAGTTGGCCCTCAGATCCGCGTCTGTCAGACACTTGAAGGCGCGCGATACCACTGGTGAAGGAGGGAGGGTGTGAGAAGAGGGGCGTAGAGGAAGGGAGAAGGAGGGGGGAGGGGGGAGGAAGGAGGAGGGAGGGAGGAGGATGGAAAGAGGGTGGAGGAGGAGGGGAGGAGATGGGAAGGGAGGTGGGGTGAGGAAACAGTTTTTCTCAAAGAAAGACGTCCCCATGAAAGGAAGCAGCAGCAGCAGCAGGTGCTGCGGGTCCTCGTGGCCGTAGCGGTCGTAGTTGGCCCTCAGATCCGCGTCTGTCAGACACTTGAAGGCGCGGGACACCACTGTGGGTGGGACAGGAGGAGGAGGGGGGGAGAGGGAGGCAGACGGGGGAGGAAAGAGTGGGGGGGAGGAGGAGGGAAGGAGGGGGAAGGAAGGAGGAGGGGAGGAGGGGGAAGGAAGGAGGAGGGGAGGAGGGGGAAGGAAGGAGGAGGGGAGGAGGTGGGGGAGAACATGGGGGAAGGAGATGCGGTCGGTGGGGTAACCGTCGTCCTCTTGGAAAGGCGTTCACATGAGCATGCAGAGCAGACGAAATGGCACGGCGGCACCATCACACTGACTTAACATGACGAATGAATGAACTAGGCACAGCATAGGAGTCATGGCTTCGGCCCCATAACCAGCGCCTATTCCATGCCATGCCATGCCATGCCATGCCATGCCATGCCATGCCATGCCATGCCATGCCATGCCATGCCATGTCATGCCATGCCGTGCCGTGCCGTGCCGTGCCGTGCCATGCCATGCCATGCCATGCCATGCCATGCCGTGCCATGCCATGCCCATGCCCATGCCCATGCCCATGCCCATGCCCATGCCCATGATCATGCCCATGCCCATGCCCATGCCCATGCCCATGCCCATGCCCATGACCCCCGTTCCCTGTCCTGAGACGTGTCTGTCTCAAAAGAACTGCGCCATGCAGCTTTCCTGTCCCCATGCCTACTCCAATTGCAAGCACCCATTACCTTTAAATGCCTCCTCTGCGCCCTTGGCTTTATTCTTGTCTGGGTGCACTTTCAGCGACAGCTGCGGGCACGGGGAGAGGGAAAAGTGCGCCAGCGGGGGTTGTGGAAAAGGGGGGGGGGGGGGGGGGGAGGGGGAGGAGGGGATGGGGGAAAAGGTGGAGGGGGGAGGAGAGGTGAGGGAGGGAGGATGGGGTTAGCAGGGAGAATCAAAGTGGGGAAGATGAGGATGGTGGCGTCTTGCAGCAGCCATAGCTGATCTGCTTGCTTCCAAGTCACAGCCGTCTGTTTTTTTGTTTTGTTTTTTTTTTGTTTTTTAATCCTCCATTCATTCTTATTTTCTCCAACATTCTTGTTTTTTTCTCCTCCATACATTGTTTTATTTCTTCCCTCGATTTATAATGGCAACGGTTCACAGGCAAAGGATAAAATGCAACCAAACCAGGGGAACCTTATCATATACTCTCCCCCTTCTGACCACCACAGCCTCAATCACCCATACAGCACACACACACCCCAGTCCCATTAAACCCACCAACACACCCCTCCCATCTCCAGGAAATAACACCCTCCCTTCCCACCCCCTTTCTTCCCTCCCTCTTCACCCCCCACACCTTCCCTCCCCCCCACCCTCCCTCTCGCTTCCCCACCTCAACTCTTCATTTCTTCCCCCTCTCCCCTTCTCCCCCCTCCCCCCTCCCCCCTTACCTTGCGGTAAGCCTTCTTGACGTCGTCCTCCGCGGCGCCCTTGGGCAGCTCCAGCACCTCGTAGTAGCACGACGTGTCAATCCCAACTTCCCCGCTCCCTCTCCTTCCACCCCTCCAATCTCTCCGCCATTTTCTCCCTCCCTTTCCCCCCCCCCTTCCTTTTTTCCCAAGGCCCCCCCAAACCCCCCTCCCTCCCCCCTCTCCTCACCCTGCCCCCTGTCATCCCCCCCCCCTCCCCAACCCACCTTGCGGTATGCCTTCTTCACGTCGTCCTCCGCGGCCCCCTTGGGCAGCTCCAGCACCTCGTAGTAGCACGACGTGTCAATCCCAACTTCCCCGCTCCCTCTCCTTCCACCCCTCCAATCTCTCCGCCATTTTCTCCCTCCCTTTCCCCCCCCCCCTTCCTTTTTTCCCAAGGCCCCCCCAAACCCCCCTCCCTCCCCCCTCTCCTCACCCTGCCCCCTGTCATCCCCCCCCCCTCCCCAACCCACCTTGCGGTATGCCTTCTTCACGTCGTCCTCCGCGGCCCCCTTGGGCAGCTCCAGCACCTTAGCCCCAACATCTCCCCACCCTCCGCTCTTGCCCCTCCTCCCCCCCTCTCCCCACTTCTCCCTTCCCCAACCCACCTTGCGGTAAGCCTTCTTGACGTCGTCCTCCGCGGCGCCCTTGGGCAGCTCCAGCACCTCGTAGTAGCACGACGTGCGCAGGATGCGCGCCACCAGCTGCGCCTGCTCCGCCGTCGCGGGCGCCCCTTCCGCCTGCTGCGCGCGCGGGCACGGGTTCGTAGACCGATGGACGGGGAACAAGAGGGGGTGAAGATAAAGGGGTGAGAAAGAAGAAGAGGGGCGGGCGGGAGGATTAAGGGGTGGGTGTGAGAGAACAAGGTGGGGAGGTGTATGATGAGGGGAGGGAGAAAGATGGGGGGCTGGAGAGGGAGAACAGCGGGAGAGGGAGGACAGCGGGAGAGGGAGGACAGAAGGACAGAGCCATTAAGACAAAGTATCTCCCGTTTGAACCAAGGATCTACAGAGACCCACCCATGTAGGATCATCCCAACAAAAATCACACGTGAACCGAGGCAACTACCTGCCTGCCAGGTGAACCGGCTAAACACAGCTATAAGTTGTTGGATTGGAAAGAACCCCTCTTCCTTTTCCCCCTCCTTCTCACACACTTCCTTCCTCTCGCCCCTCCCTCCCAACCCCTCTTGCCTCCCGCCCCCTCTCGCCTCTCACCTCTGCCTCTCTCGTGCCCTGTCCTCTACTCCTTTGTCCCGCCGCCGATCCATCCGCTCCCCCCTGCTCCCCCCCCGCTCTGCTGCTCGGCCCCGCTCCCGCCCCCTCGCGCCTTCCCCCTTCTCCTGCGCCCCCCGCGTTTCTGGCGGCGCCCGCGGCGTCCGCTGCCCCGCCCGCACCCCCCGCCTCCCCCGCTTTCTCCGCCTGGGAGCTTGCCACTTGCGTTAGCAGCGACGCGACCTGCAGAGAACGCGGAGGGGAAACGGAAAGGGGGAAGGCGGAGGCGGAAGAAGGGAGGGGGGAGCGATAGGGCGGAGAAAGGGGGGAGTGGAGAGAGGGGGGCGAGAGTGGAAAGGGTGTGGGGTGTGGAAACGAAGAAAAAGAAGGATAGTGATTCAGCAGTTACTCCAAAGAATGTTTTTTGGGGGAAATAAATTCCCTGTGAAGGAAAGAGACCGAGAGAGGGGTTTGTTAGGAAAAACAGAATCCAGCTGTGCGAGACGCGAACTCGAAAGAATCGACCGCAGGAGGAGTAAGGGAGCGGGTGAATGAGGGAAAGGGAAATTCGGGCAGAAGGGCGAAGAGAGTGATGAAAGAAGAGGCGAGTAAAAAGGGTATTGTTGAGACGTCTCAAAGGGAAATTCGGGCAGAAGGGCGAAGAGAGTGATGAAAGAAGAGGCGAGTAAAAAGGGTATTGTTGAGACGTCTCAAAGGGAAATTCGGGCAGAAGGGCGAAGAGAGTGATGAAAGAGGAGGCGCAGCTCTGGTCGCAGCGGGCCGCAGCTCTGGTCTACTCAGATCCGAAATCAAAGAATCTCATCCCGTAGTCAAGAATTCTCCAGTTAAAGGCCTTACCTCCGGCGAGGGGTAGAGGCGCTGCGCCTTGTGTAGGAATCTGAGCGCCCGCTCTTTATCGCCGGCAGCTAGCGCAGCTCTCGCCACCTCCACGCACCGCTCCCCCGCTTCCCTGTTGCCGTCCATGGCGCGCCGCGTCGTGTCGCGTTCCCACAGGCGGAACTGAAAGTGAGCTCGCGCCTTGCCCCTGCTGCCGAAGCTACTCGTATGACTGCGGGCGGGCGCGGCTCACGCTGCTGACGCTCGGCAGCAGGGGCAAGGCGCTGCGGGCGCTGCTCACGCTGCTGACGATCACGCTAAAGATGAAGCAGACGGCGAGGCTGCTTGAGTCGGCAGATTCGCTTGCAAAAGCGGTCGCCAAGGTCTCTTTTTCAAATCGACTCGAAAGGGAATTGCGCCGTGAGTGGCGAGATCCGTTCGGAGATCCGTTCACACGCGTCGCTAAGAAGGGAGCAGCAGGACTTTTTGTAACCTGGAGAGCTGCTGGAGAAGCAGGGAGCGAGAATGAAGCGAGAGAACAAGCTGAGGAAAGGCTGAAAAGGCAACAGATTCGAGCACGAGGGAAGGGTACGAGTCGATTGAGTGACGAGCTTGGCGGGCTTGGCTAGGATTGAATTTTACTAGGCATTGCGGCATTTGATTTAGAATCGTAAATTAAGATTAAGGACAGTCTGCGTCGGAGAAACGAAGAGCAGATGAGGGACAAGGAGAGAGGGAACGGGGAAGTGGAGGAGGGGGGAGGGTAGGGGGAGGGGGGTGCGGGGGGATAATGAGGAAGGGAGAGTGGGAAAAGGGGTAGCAGGGAAAGAGGAAAGAGAGGGAGCAAGGGAATAAGACAGGGAGGGGAGGAAGAGGGAGGAGATCTACCTTGAGATTCAAAATCGACACGCGTCACAATCGCATCGGCGACGTCGCGAATCAAACGGGTGGTGAACTCCGCGGATCCTCGGGAACGTATGAAATTTCAATATGAACCTCTTGTAATATGACAAAACAGATTCTCCGATCCGCACACTCCTCGCTCTCTAAGCCTCCTAAAGAGCCGTCGGATCGCGACACTGCGATTGACGAGATAGCCTTTCAGGCCTGACGGAATAACAGCTCTCGAATCAGCTGGATCCACGTAGACAACGCGCTTGCAAAAAACGTCCGGTGAAACCAGAAAAAATAAACCGCGGCGGGTTTCCTAACGTGATTCCCAACTTATAAATCCGTGATCTGAAAGTACGTCAGCAGCGGAGATTATCAGACGGATCCGTGTTTGTTTCCCACACAGGAAACACGAACCGCACCAGGCCTTTCCCCTCACGAGCTGACGATTTCGAGGTCGTTAACTTTGGAGAGAGCGCAGCGATACACGAGCGACTGTCGTGTCAACTCGTGTAAGCGATTTCGGTTTGCGCGGTGAGCCTTGAGATATGTGCTTCAGCAGGAACATCAGTGGATGAGCGAAGTGGAGTGGAGGGAAGGGAGACTGGCTGTGGTTTCGAGGAGGCTGCCTGTCATAGAATGAACAACAATCTAGCGGATTCCAGAACTGTACAGTGCAAACTAAATATAGCATATGTTCTAACGGATCTGTAGTTTCCGAGTGTCCGTACGCGTTATGACACCCTTCTGACCGCAGCGCCCACAGGGTTTTTGTTGGCACACGTGAAGATTCTGATGCTCTTTTGTCTGCGGTACAAATATTCCCGCTATTATCGGACGTCTCCCTTGCTGGGTGCACTGCTTGCAAGAATTTGATGGACAAAAGGCAGAAAACAGCATGGGATGGGAAATGTCTTACAGTATCTGCACAATAGCGTTACAGCCCAACCATACAGCCGGACCCTAAACTAACAGAATCTATACAAAATCCACACTAATCCTAAAATATTTTCATATTGAGGAAACACCCTCTTATTGAGTATATTGATGCTAGCATCATCAGTAACTCCAGCGTAGCTCCATGCAACATCCCAAGCCCAAGTTGGGTTGGGCCTTGATTAAGAAAGCGACAAGTGCAGAACCTGTTTCAATTAGAATCATTAGTATTACGGTAACACTACAGCATCCGTGACAAAGATAAGCTGAGCATGAGAAACTGCTCTGAACTGGCAGCCCCTGCAGGGCAAGGGGAGGCTTCCATGTCCGATCGGATTCCGAACCACGCACACTTAAGAGCAGCTCGAGCAGCTCCCAAAACCGACACTTCATTTATTATTACGCTCAGGTGATGCTTTGCGCCGGCGTTTTCCAATTCACTTGGCGCCTTTGATCTTCTGGTTACCCAACGCTCAGGTGTCCTCCCTTCACTTGCGTTGGGAAGGCTCGTTGCCTCGTTCCTTGCACTTCTCACCTACTGAGGGTCTATGACAGGCCATGCTGCTCTTGCTGCTGCTGCTGCTGCTCTTGCTGCTGCTGCTGCTGCAACCTGCTCCTGCTGTCGCTGCCGCCACTGCCGCTGCTGCTGCTGGTGTCGCTTCTGCCGCTGCTGCTACCGTTGCTGCTGCTGTTGCCACGAACGAAACAGAGAAGCGCAGAGCACTGCAGGGGGGGGGGGGCACCATGGCGAGCAGAGTGTTGAGATCTGTTTTGACTGTGTGGTGCTGGGGAGACTTTTGAGTCGACTCAAAAGTCACCTCGCAGAACACTGCAGGGGGGCCACCACGGCAAGCAGAGTGCGGAGATCTGTTTCGACTGTGGTGCTGGGGAGGGGAGTAGATAGAGCCACAGGCAGCCCAGTTAGATGCACCAACTCAACAACCACTGCAAGCACGCTCGAGGAAAGCACGTCTGGTCACATTTTGTGTGAGACCGATACGGTATCGTTCTTCTGCCACCGCCACCGCCACCAACGCCGCCGGCCGCCGACGCCTCTGCTGCTGCTGCTGCTGCTGCTGCTGCTGCTGCTGCTGCTGCTGCTGCTGCTGCTGCTGCTGCTATGGCTGGTGCCGCTATGAACCAGTGAAGAGTCAGTAAGCAACGAGGGGTGAGCACCACACGCACCCACGCACGCACAGGGCAGCAGCAGCAGCAGCAGCAGGGTACGAGGAAGGGTTCGATGATGTGACTGTGCTGTGGACCGGCACACACCAGGTTCCTTCCGATCCGAGGCGGGCCCGTACGTGCCACAATGGAGATGAAGAGAGACGACGAGAGACGAGAGAACAACGGAGAGGCGAGGAGGCAAGAAGCAGGCATCAGCGGGGGCGGAGGCTGCCTGCAAAGAGAGACAGAGGGGAGGGGGGCTGCTGATCATTCTGTCTTGCCGTGCTGTGCCCTTTCCTGATGATGATTCTGCCCTGCACTCTGCCTGCCTGCTCCTCTTGCTCCTTGTGCTGCTCGTTGCTCTGCTCGTTGCACTGCTCGTTGCTCTGCTCCTCACCCCATTGTCCTCTGCTGTACGCCTACCAGCAGCAATCTCCAGTCATGTGACCATCTTGCTCTTGCTCCTGCTCTTGCTCCTGCTCTTGCTCCTGCCGCCCTTGCACCTGTTGCTGTTGCTGCTGCTGCTGCTGCCGCTGCCCTTGTTCTTGTCACCCAAGCATGGCGCGCGGTCGCTCAGTCGCTGTCGCTCTCCGCCCCGTTCATTGCCTTGAGCCCACGCGGCTTCTGCACAAGGATGCAGCACCAGGAGTAGCAGGCAGGAATGCAGTAGGAACGCAAAGGAGGGTGGAAACTGGGGATTGAGGCGGGAAGGGTTACCAGGAGGATCGAGGAGGGGAGGGTGGCAAGGAGGAGCTTTAAAAAAGGGAAGAATCAGGTGTGGGAAGAACCAAGAGGGGCATAAACGTGGACTCTAAGATGCCTTCGAGTTGACTTGACTCGTATAGGAAGGAATGGGTGGGCAGGGCACTGCATCTCCTGGGCTCTTAGGTATTGGTTTGGTGGGCCCAGCCCAGGAGACGCAGAGCTGGGGCGTGGGAGGGAGATGATGGTGCATAGGAGCATGATAGGGAGACGGCACGCTATGCTATGCCGCAAGCCATGATACGATACGGTGGGAATACAGCAGACAGCAGCGAGCGAGAGCGGGATTGGGAGTGGGAGTGGGAGTGGGAGTGGGAGTGGGAGAGGGAGTGGGAGTGGGAGTGGGAGTGGGAGTGGGAGTGCGTGTGAGAGTGGGAGCGAGCAAGAGAGAGGGTGGGGAGGGAAGCGGACCTTCTTGGTGCACTTTCTTTCGCGAACCTCGTACCGCTCTCGGCTCACGCCTGTCAGCCATGCACCTGGCAGGAGGCGCTGTAGCGGGGTGGGAATCGGGATGGGGATTGGGCGGGAAAGGGAGAGGGAGGAGGGCCGTGAGTGACGGAGGACGGAAGTGAGGGAGAGAGGGGGGAGAAGAGGAAGAGCCCGTGAGGAAATGGACGAGAGAGGTGAGTGTGGCGGGGAGATTTCGGGCACGACGGAAGGAGAGAAGAGGGGCGGATGTTGGGGGCAGAGAGAGAGAGAGAGGGGAGAACAATAGGGAGAGGAGAGATAGAGGTCGAGTTGTGGGAGGGAGGGGAGGGAGGGGAGGGAGGGGAACTGAGGAGTATATAGCCTCTTGTGAGTGAGCGATAGAGGGCGATTTTTTAGGATTCTCAAGACTTACGGTAGTAGCTCATGCAAGCAAACTAACAGCCTTCACTCGCGACGGGAGATGGGACATGAGGCCAATCCCTTTCCCCCCATCTCCAAACACCCTCTCAAATCAACGGGTGCTGCTCTCACATAAACATCAACCCATGCCATCAACCCATGCCATCAACCCATGCCATCAACCCATGCCATCAACCCATGCCATCAACCCATGCCATCAACCCATGCCATCAACCCATGCCATCAACCCATGCCATCAACCCATGCCATCAACCCATGCCATCAACCCATGCCATCAACCCATGCCATCAACCCATGCCATCAACCCATGCCATCAACCCATGCCATCAACCCATGCCATCAACCCATGCCATCAACCCATGCCATCAACCCATGCCATCAACCCATGCCATCAACCCATGCCATCAACCCATGCCATCAACCCATGCCATCAACCCATGCCATCAACCCATGCCATCAACCCATGCCATCAACCCATGCCATCAACCCATGCCATCAACCCATGCCATCAACCCATGCCATCAACCCATGCCATCAACCCATGCCATCAACCCATGCCATCAACCCATGCCATCAACCCATGCCATCAACCCATGCCATCAACCCATGCCATCAACCCATGCCATCAACCCATGCCATCAACCCATGCCATCAACCCATGCCATCAACCCATGCCATCAACCCATGCCATCAACCCATGCCATCAACCCATGCCATCAACCCATGCCATCAACCCATGCCATCAACCCATGCCATCAACCCATGCCATCAACCCATGCCATCAACCCATGCCATCAACCCATGCCATCAACCCATGCCATCAACCCATGCTTACTCTCAAACCACCTCCAACCAGACACCCCCGCTCTCCCCTTCTCTCCCCCCCTCCCTTCCTCTTCCCCTCCGCTTCTTCCTTCCTAACCCTTCCTTTTCCCTCCATCCTCTCCACCCCCTCGCCCTGCACTTCCCCCAAGCCTGCCTCTCACCTGCAGCCCTTTCTCCACGAGCTTCGATCGCTTCTTGGGCCGCAAGCTTTGGTGGACTCGACTCTAAAGTAGCCCCCCCAACCGTCCCTCCCCCCCTCCCCCCCCAACCCAGCCCCCCAAGCCTGCCTCTCACCTGCAATCCTTTCTCCACGAGTTTCGATCGCTTCTTGGGGCGCTGCGGCAGCTTCCCCCCTTTGATCGCCCAGAAGTCGTCCTCCTTCTCGCTCCGCGACAGGCTCAGCAGGAACCGCGGAACCTCCGCCATCTCCGCGCTCCCTCCCCCCGCCGCGCCCCCTCCCCCGCCCCCACCCCCGCCCGCGCCCGCGCCCGCGGAACCGTGCATGCCCCCCGCTGCCGCACCGTGCGCGCCGGAGGGCGGGGGGGCGGAATGCGGGTGTTGGGGGTGATGGGGATGGTGATGGTTGTGGTTGTGGTGGTGATGGTGTCTCAAGTCCATTGTTGGATGGTTGCTATGGTTGCCGTGACTGTTGCTGTTGTTGTTGCTCTGGTGATGGTGGTGGTGGTGGTGGTGATGGTTGGGGGGTTGGGGGTGGTGAGGGGGAGGATGCATCGTGTACGCGCTTTCCCCCTTCTGCTCCCCCTTCTGCTCCCCCTTCTGCTGCTGCTTCTGCTGCTTCTGTTGCTGCTCCTGCTTCTGCTTCTGCTCCCCCTTGTGCTGCTGTGATGAGTGTCGCCCGTCCATTCCGTTATGCTCGTGATTGATTCCGTCTAACCCGGCGCGTGCCCCGCCACGTCCGTCTCGTAACTCCTCGCTCCCCTGCGCGGCCGCCGCCGCCGCTGCCGCAGCCGCCGCTGCTGCCGCCGCGGCAGCGGCAGCGCGGGTCCCAGCGCCCGCGCCCGTTCCGCCTGTTCCGCCAGCCGCCACCCCGTTCGCTCCCCCGTGCGCGCCCGATCCGGAAGCGCCTTCCCCCGCCGTCGTCGCCGCCGCCGCGTGCCTCCGCCTAAGATTCGCGGGATGCTGCGACTGCCTGTGCGCGACGTCCGGCTCTCCCTCGTGCGACGCGTGCGACGCGTTGCTGGTACTCGGGACGCGAGTACCCGCGCGACTCGCGATGCTGTTCCCCTCTCCCTGCGCCGCCGCCGCCGCTGCCGCCGCCGAAGCCCCACCCGCTTTTTCCGATGCGCCTTTGCCAACCGCTACATTCGCCGCGTTCCCCGCTCGTTCCCCCTTTTCTCCCCTCTCTCCCCGCTCCGCTCGCTCCGCTCTCTCCGCTCTTTCGGTCTTCTCCCCCCGCTCCCCGCCCCCTCTAAGTCGGGAAGTTTCTCGCGTCACCGCGGATTCTCTCTCGTTGTGCGCAGCGGAGCTTGCGCGGGCGTGCGGCGGGGTTTGCGCGCCGTTGGCGGAGTCCTTGTGCCTGATGGGCGGAAGTTCCGCGAAAGGCGCGCAGAGCGGAAGCGGAGGGATGCGGGCGGGGACGGGCACGGGGGACGGGGGAGGGGGAGGGGGAGGGGGAGAGGATGAGCGGAAGCTCCTTGCTGTGTGTGAGAGCAGGCGGAGAGGATGGGGGGATGGGACATTTGGAGGGAGAGAGAGTGGGGGCAACAGCGAGTAGTGTGCGCACGTGTGTCGTTCGGGGGAAAGGGGCGCGGAAGGGGGGAGACAGACGAGAACAAACGGGGAGCGGAAGAAGCGCGGCGGAACTTGCCGAACGGGACGGGAGAGGGGGGAGGTGGAAGCGGGATGCGGGGAAGTGCGGGAGTCTGCGGACGAGAGAACGGGAGGGGGGGACGCGGAAACTCTGCGCGCAAGGGGCGCGCGAGGGGAGCGCTGCCGCGGCTCACCTCTTATGAACTTGCGGCGCGGCCGGTGACGCGGAATTACCATGCGACCCCTCCGCGCCGCTCTTCTCATCCGCATCTTCCGCGCCTCCGCCGCTGCTACTTCCCCCGCTCCTACTCCCCTCTCCGCTTCCGCTTCCGTTCCCGCTTGCGCTAGCGCTCCTGCTCCTCCCCGCGCCCGTGCCAGCGCGGACGCCGCCGCCCCGATCCACGCCGCCGCCACCGCCGCCGCCGTAGTCGCCGTCTCTTGCGGCGTTGGATGCGGGAGTCGCCATTACCCCGTTCTTGCGAGACTTTTTGGGCTCCCAGTCGTGCGCGGCGCTGCCAGGCGACGATGCGCTTCCGCCTCCGCCTCCGCCTTTTCCGCCTCCAGCCTGAGTTGCGCGATGCGCGTCGTCGGAATTCCGCGCCCGAACGCCAGGCGACGCCGTTGCCGCCGCCGCTGCTGCCGGGGATGAGTTATTACTCGCAGCTGCCGCCGCCGCCGGCGCTGCCGCTGGCGCCGCTGCCGTCGGGTTACGCACGTATCTCAATCGCTTCTTCTGCCCCCATCTTAACTCCTCGCAAACCACAACGCGCCGCACTACGCGCTCCTCCTCCCCGCCACTGCTCCCGCCTCGGCTCCCACTCCCGCCAGCACCGCCGCTTCCCCCCTCTTCTCCCCCGGCGGCGCCACCGCCGCCGCCGCCGGAGCCGCCCAGTTGGTCCATGGGGAGAACGGCGCTCGCTATTTCACACGCGTCCATAGTAGCCGTAGCCACGGCGGCGCGCTTGAGAGATCGGCAAGGGAACCGTCAGATGCGGTAGTTGGCAGACCTCTTTAGAGCAAGAGCGTGCGCAGAAGCGTGAGATGCGGCGTTCGCGAACCACAAGGTGTCGCAGGCGCTCGTTCGCGAAAGCTAGTGCTGGCTCGAAACGTTGTGAAGGCTCGTACGGAAAACACGGAAACTGCCCGTTAGCTGCTCGATATACTTTTCTGGACCAATGGGAAAGCGCGCTAGAGAGAGGGTTCGTTTGTGCCGAGTTTCGAGGCGCCTGAACAGCCGGGAGGGGAAAGAGGAAAGGGAAAAGGGGGGTACTCGCAACAGATCTAGGAAATCAAGTTGAAAGTGGTGGAGAGGTCGCGGCTAGGGCGTCTCTTCGCGAGCGGCGAGCGACGAACGGCGAGCGGCGAGCGACGAGCGACGAGCGGAGAAGTCGAGCGGCAAGCAAGCTTAGACGGGTCCCTTTGTACGTGTGAGTGTTGAGATCGACGGTGATGCGAGTGCAGGCGCGAGAAGCGAAGCGAAGCCGAGATCAATGCGCGTGCGAACAGAGGAGACGACGACGATAACGCGCGAGTGACGCGCGAGTGACGCGCTGACGAAGATACGATCTCGCAAGAGGAGCAGATGGCAGGAGACGTTACCGTTGCCGTTGCCGCCGATTCCGCGGTTGTGGTTCGCAGACGACGCGAGTCTTTGGCGAGAGAGCGTTACTGAAGGGATTCGACGAGAGGAACGCACGGATGCGTGCTCTTGAGAAGACTTTGTGATGGCACGAGCTGCTGGAGGTGCTTTCGCGGAAGCCCCGCGCGGCAAACAAGCTCAATGCTTGAAGCGCCTAGGGGATGCTTGTCGTCTGGTCGCAAATGCACAGGTTTCGCTGCGAGGCGGGAACGGCATCACCTCAGCGCGAGGAGAAGCAGAGAAAGACGGCGCGAAAAGCGGAGGGCGAGGAGGAGAAACGATAGAAGAGAGTAGGGTAGCGTAGCTATGGAATGGTAAGGGAGAAAGGAAATGGTGATGGGGAGAGGAGCGGTAGGGCTTTCAGGAAGTCGAGAAAAAGGGCTCGAGCATGCGACTGCGAAACATTGTTTTTTGCGACGGTTGTACGACCGGCTGGGAGCTGCGACTGGGAGCCCGCGACGTCGTAAAGAACCATACGACTGTTGGAAATGCACTGTGTGCGAAGAATTTGCGCGAACACTGTTGCGAAGAGGGTGGGCTGCGGAGATTCTACAAAAGTGACGGGGGGAGGGGAGGGGCGGAGGGGAAGAGAAAGGGGGGAGTGCGGCTGGGTGCAGGGAGCCCGGGGAGTGTAGGGAGGGAGCCTGGAGGTATCCGGGGAGCTCGGGGAATGCGGAGATCCCGGTGAGTGCGGGAGAGGGCGGGGAGCGTGCAAGTGCGGGGCGTGCGCGAACTGCTCACCCCGTAACGGGGAATGCAGAGGCACAGTGGCCGCGCGCGTGCGGCTGGGGCAAGGCGAAAGGGCTTCTTGGGTTCACCCCTCACAGACAAGCCTACAGTACAAGGGACAAGGGCAGGATGGGTGGAACACCCTTTGAAACGAAGGTCCGTGGACATGCGCGAGAATAACCAAATTCGCATATCCGTCTTTCTAATGATTTCCTTCGCAAAGATCGCAAATAGTTCGTGCGGGCCCTTCGTGTAGACCATATTTATCAACCAGGCCCTTCGTGCAGATGTTCTGCACCAATTTACGATGGTTTGTGCTCGTGGAAACCTGTAACCTGGTTTGCGAGGGAAACAAGGCTTTGCTGGCCGCAGCACGCCACCAGACAGAATCTCCCACAGCAGTCGACGCAATTGGCTGGTTTTCAGTCCGCACCTCGTTGAGAGGTCTGGCATCCACATAGACGCGTTTGATTGGCTAATCAAAGTGGCTTGTTTTTGCTTCCCCGTCTCTGACACAAGGCTCGAAGTTCGAGCTCCCTGGTGTCGTTTGAAGAACAGCTTCGGGTGCGGGTCAGGTCGCGAGAAGCACTTTTCACTTGTTCAAGCTGGCTGTAGAGGAGGTTTGGTGCTCGATTGTCGCCGGACCTTGTCCGGCGGATGTCTTTACTCGGACCTCAGGCTTGTTTTTCTGCAAGAGATTTCGCCAAGATGAGTAAGATTTTGCGGGATCTTGAGAGATATTGCGAATTCCCGTGTTACCCCAACGAGCACACCCGTGTCTTTCATCAGTGAGTTCTGGTGCGGTACAGGGTGGTACTAGTACGAACATACAGTAGTGCTCTGTTCTGTACCACATATCTTCTTACCCTAAACCATTTGATGATTGGGGCATGGTGTTATGAGTTGTAATGGAGAGTGCGCGGAATAACGAATAACGAAGCTGTGACTTAATGAACTGTCAATTACAATGAAAGTACGCGACTATATAGTGACTACCCTAGCTAGGATGGAACCTCGGGAAACGAGGTTGGGTGCAGGTTTGGCGACGGAAAGCCGTAGGCGACGTGGAGGAGCCTCGGCATCGTTCATGTCGGCCGAACGTGCGAAGTCCGAAAATCGGGGTTGTACGCGTAGCAGCCAACCACTACCCCCCCCCCTTTAAGCAAGGTGGTCAACATCAGCAACTCGCTTGCGGGCGAAATAATCACCAAGAAGCGGAGAGGCTTCAAGCAATGCGGATGGCACCCATGTCGTCCACGCTGTTGCGGTCCGTCCATCGGACTAGAAAGTCCACGTGGCGGCCAGTGGTGTTGAGCCGGATCCGATGTCCAAGAATCTTCGATGGGTCGGTGGTCGGTTCCGGGACAGGTCGAGCTGTCGGGGCGGCGTTATGGCGTGCAAAATCTGTCGTGGCAGGCACGAAGTTGCGAAGGAGGTTGACATGGAAGGCGTCATGTATACGCCAGTCGTCGGGTAGCAGCAGCTTCGCAGTGACAGGTGTCACCATCTGGATGATGCGGAAAGGCCTACAAAATCGTGGCCGTAGTTTGTTTGAGCCGGCAGGCGTAGGTTTTTCGTGTCGAGTAGCACTAGTTGCCCAGGCGTCATGACGATTTCTCATCGTAGAGGATCCGAGTATTTCCGGGCAGTAATATTCGCCTTGCGAATAGCATCGGCTGCGTTCTCGCGGATCTCCTGAAGTTCCGTCACAAATGTTTGTGACCGTGGGACCGGGTTGTCGAGTGTCGTCGTGGTTGGTACCACCGGGTCCATCCCGTAATTCAGGAAGAACAGGGAGTGATTAGTCGTGCTAGACGGTGCGTTGTTGAACGCGAACTCCAGCATGGCGAGTGACATTTCCCAGCGAGTGGGGTCGGGGCAGTTTGTCCTGATCAGCTGCTCCATCATCTGATTGGGTCGCTCGGTCTGTCCATCGGTTTGTGTATGGTATGCTGATGAAAACTGTAGCTTTGTGCCGTACTGCGCACACGTTTCCTTCCAAAATCTTGAAGTGAAATTCGGGTCACCGTCGCTAACGATCGCTGACGGGATTCCGTGCAGTCGCACGACGGTTGAGATGAAGAGGCGCGCAGTTTCTTCTGCTGTGATTGTTGTACGACACGGTGCGAAGTGTGCCATATAGGTGAAGCGATCGACGACGACGAGTACCGCGTCGATTCCGGACGGCCTAGCTGGCAGCCCCGTGACGAAGTCCATTGTCACCTGTTGCCATGGTCGCACGGGTGGCTCCAGTGGTTGCAGCAATCCAGCTAGCCGCAGTCGTGTCGATTTCATGGCTTGGAACACCCTGCATGAGGACACATATCGCTGCACGTCGTTAGAGGAATCAGGCCAATAGTATTGACGGTGCAACCGTTTTTGGGTTTTATCAACCCCGAAATGTCCGGAGAGGTTTGAATCGTGGACCTCTTGAATAAGGAGTTCACGCAGGAGCCGGTAAGCGGGAACCCAAATCCGGTCAGTTCCGGATTTTAGGTAATAGTTCCCCTTCTACGTCGTTGCCTGCTGGTGATTTCCAGTCGTGAAGAACGGGTCCGTAGTGTAGCCGTGGGTGAATAGTCCCGTAAGTTGTGGGTTCGAGTGGGTGATGAGTACTGCAGCGGATTGAACGGTTCGTCGGGTAAGGGCGTCGGCGATGTTATTCGCCCCTTTCTTGTACGTGATGCGGTAGGTGAAGTGGCTCTCCATGTAGTCGAGCCAACGAACTTGTCGCGGATTGAGGTTGGGCTGAGCTAGCAGGTACTGTAGGGACTTGTGGTCCGTGCGAACAGTGACGTCGGCGCCCACCAAGTAGCAGCGCCATAGTTTGAACGCATGTATAATTGCGAGCATCTCCTTGTCGTGTATCGGGTAATTGCGCTCGGCAGACTGCAGCTTGCGTGATTCGTAGGCAATCGGCTGCAGCCCGTCTCCGAACTCCTGGAGGAGTACAGCTCCGATGGCGAAACCTGAGGCGTCGGTGATGACTTCGAACGGCTTCGATGGATCGGCGATGCGTAGAACCGGAGGGGAAACCAGAAAATTCTTCAGTTCCTGAAAAGCCGCCTCTGCTTCCTCCCCCCACACAAAATTTATGTCCTTGTGCAGCAGGTCGGTTAGCGGGCCGGTTATCCCCGCCATATTCGGGATAAACCTTCTGACATAATTCACGAACCCCTGAAAACTCTGAAGTTCCGTGATGTTAGTCGGGGACTTCCACTATTGTATAGCCTTGATTCTCGACGGGTCGATTTTAATGCCGTCGCGGGAGATGACGTGTCCCAAAAACTCCAACTCTTGCCTTAAAAACTCGCACCTAGAGCCTTTGGTGATGAGGCGGTTCTCCTGTAGCCGCTGAAAAACTGTGTCGAGGTCGCGGAGGTGTTGTTCTCTTGTCCTGCTGAAAATCAAAATATCGTCCAAGTAGACGACAACACACTTGTCAAGAGATTCCCTGAAAACTCGGATCATGGTCAGTTGAAAAGTCGAAGGCCGGGTTTGTGAGGCCGAACGGCATCACTTGGAATTCGTAGCTTCCGTAGCGGGTGCGAAACGCGGTCTTGTAACAATCCTCTGCAAAGACCCGTATCTGATGGTAACCTCCCTCTTCGCAACCAGCGTCGTTGTCCCCGCCAGCGCCGTTGTCCCCGCCAGCGCCGTTGTCCCTGCCAGCGCCGTCGTGTCGTTCCCGCCATTGGCTCCCGCTCTCCCGCCGTTGTCCTCTCCAACTGACACAGAGCACAAAACAAGAAGTTAGAATCTAGGAAATAAAATACAAGGAAAGCGGAACTGATAGCGTACCACGTGGATGAGGCGTTGCAGCCAGCTTCTCTTCCTCCTCCTCCCACGCCGGGAGCTGCGCTAAGACACAGCACGAAGCAAGAAGTTAGAATTGGAAAAAAAAAGGCAAGGAAAACGGAACTGACAGCGTACCATGTGTGAGTCGTTGCAGCCTGCGCCGTCAGCTCCCGATCCCGCTCCCACGCCGTGAGCTGCACTAAAACAGAGCACGAAGCAATAAGTTAAAATCCGGAAAATAAAACACGAGGAAACCGGAACCGACAACGTACCACGTGGATGAGTGTCAGATTTATATGACATAGCTACTGTAGACTATAGTGGGGTAGCACACATGGGGTACAGTTTTCTAGGGTTTGCTTCTTGTACCCAACTTTCACTTAGTCATTTCATTCCTCGTTTCTTATCATGGTATCGAGCAGGTTCCCTAGTGGGAACGATTCCTAGGGCCCACCACCACGAATTTTTTTTTTCCTGCCCGGAGCGCGTTTTGCGCCGGCCCGAGTCGCGCCGCCCTTTCGGCCCGTCGCGCCCGTCGCGCCCGTCGCGCCCATCGCCACCTACCTCCGCGGCCCCGCCACCTACCTTCGCGGCCCCGCCACCTTATTGTGCGGCCCCGCCACCTACCTCCGCGGCCCCGCCACCTACCTCCGCGGCCCCGCCACCTACCTGTGCGGCCCCGCCACCTACCTGTGTGGCCCCGCCACCTACCTTCGCGGCCCCGCCACCTCACTGTGCGGCCCCGCCACCTACCTCCGTGGCCCCGCCACCTACCTGTGCGGCCCCGCCACCTACCTTCGCGGCCCCGCCACCTCACTGTGCGGCCCCGCCACCTACCTCCGCGGCCCCGCCACCTACCTGTGCGGCCCCACCACCTACCTTCGCGGCCCCGCCACCTCACTGTGCGGCCCCGCCACCTACCTCCGCGGCCCCGCCACTTACCTTTGCGGCCCCGCCGCCTCCTCCCAGCGGCCCCGGACGCCGCCCTCTCAGCGGCCCCGCCGAGCCGCCCAGCAGCCAAGCCGCCCAGCCGCCGAGCCGCCCAGCAGTCGAGCCGCCCAGCAGCCGAGCCGCCCAGCAGCCGAGCCGCCGAGCCGCCCAGCCGCCGAGCCGCCCTGTCCGCAGCCGAGCCGCCCAGCAGCCGAGCCGCCCCGCCGCCGAGCCGCCCAGCCGCCGAGCCGCCGAGCCGCCGAGCCGCCCTGCAGCCGAGCCGCCCGAACCGCCCTGTCCGGTAAGAGCAGCGCCTCTCTCACAGCACTGCCCTCGCCCTACTGTTTGCACTGCTAGTCTACTGCTGTCATGGCTACCCCTAGTGTCCTCGCTTTTGACGCTGAGGGTCGGGCCATTGACTTTGACGTCTGGATAGATGA